AAGGAATAAGGCAGAAACTGGTGGGTTGAGATAAAAGCAGTTTAACAAAACAGCAAAAGCAAGAGAAAACAATAACAGTAACACCGGTAAAGGAATATACGAACGCGATTACAGTGCCGCCGCTCCCGATCGGACCCGGACCGCTGCCGGCCCCTCCAAGCCGCGACTTCCCGCCCCCTCCCCGGCTAGCTCCCCCCCAAACCTGGGCATGGCTCACATGGCAGGGAATACCTGTGTCCCCTGCTGGCTCCTTGGGAAAATTAACCCCATCCCTGCCAGAACCAGGACAACCATATTTAATAAATCAGGGAAAAAAAAAAACCCAACATATATAGGACTGCAAAGTTATCATTATAGCTTTTGTGCACCTCACTTATTTAAAGGTAGATTTTTTTTTTCTGCACAGTTTCTAAGCATTAGAAAGAAATACTGAATCTAAATGAGCACTTGCTGCTTCTCTAAGCCCCAGCCTACTTTTCTGCTTGCCTGTTGACTCTTCCAGAGTATAGCAGAAGGCAGAAGCATGGAATTTGCCCAGTTGGGCTCAGGGAGATGCAGGTGGTAGATATAATGGGAAGGTGAGGAGGCAAGGACCATCTGATAAAGAGGGAGCTGGTGTGGAGGGAACCAGTAACAGATCCCCTGCACTCTCAGGAGGAAGACTATTTCTAAACTGTGGTGGCAAGAGACCACATAAAAAGAGGACTATGGTTTCTCAGATTTTTTTAGGACAAAGATTTCATAGTCACTATATGAACCTGTATATTAAATATGGACTGTGTAGTAAGCAGAAGAAAAATGTTATCCTGGGTTTAGAATACTTTTTCAGTTTTTAGGTTTTCACTGCCATGAAGCCGGTAACTCATTATACAGTTAACTTGCAGAAAAAAAAAAAAAAAAAAGAAAAGCAATCCATTTGCTAAATGGAATCATGTTTACCTAAACATTTGTATTTGAGTTATAGAAATTACAATATTAAGATCATGTACTTAAAAACTCCAAAAAGACATTTTTTGTAACTCCATGGTTGGGAAAAAAATAATTGATCAGATGCAAATAACACCTTTTTTTAAAAAATCAATTAACACAGAACAACACTCCCAAACAAAAAAAAACCACCAAACCTCATCTCATGACATTGCATCCATGATGTGATATAATTGACAATTGAACTATGATACAGTTTCACAATATGTATGCTAAAATAGATATCATGGCAGAGACAAATTAACTGAATATGTGTGAGGGCTTTCAAACATGCATTTTTGAACATGGGAGTCTGTGTGATGTTGATATAAAGTTTAGCCCCTAATATGTGTTTTATGTACACAGTAATGTCATAAGCTTGATAGTAAACATACTTACATGTTTTTTGCTTTTTATTAACTTTATTTAAAGCAAACCATATTTTGCTGATTTCTGTATAAGATTTTTCTTTGTATTTCTCCAGCCTGGGTTTTGCCCTTCTTGAGCAAAACATAATAGTGCCATTTATATATTGCAGCCCACTACAATATATAAAGTTCACCCCCTAGGTGAACTATAGGGCCCTCATATGGCAAAGAGTTATTCATTTTTCTAACTAGAGCTTGAAATCTATTAAAACATTAAGTACTGATATATTATTGCATCTGACTCTTAACCATTCCATCAGATATACTGCATTTGTACAAGTTTAACAGCTATATGGAAGACACAATGTAAAATAGTACCAAATGCCTGAGGGAAAACCACTATCCTGTGTTCTCAGAAGAGAGTCCATTTGCTGACATGCTTTTCATTTACTATGGCACTTGCATATAAAATCCTAATAAAATTTAGTACTGAAGATAAAAGAGAGCTAAGAGAGAAGTAACATTTATTCTAATTTGTTGGCATATTAGTATATGCATATATTGATATTTGTACCTAACTTAAGGCAAAATTATCTGTTCCTATTTTCTGTTTATCTGTTGTTCTCTGAGGCAAGTGGACAGCTGTGAATTATTCTCTTCTTGTTTTCTTAGTTCCAGACAAAATGTTCACTAACGGTGAACTGCTTTCCCAAGTATTGACTACGCTTTCTAAGCATGTTTTCCGGGAGGAAATTACTAGGAGATGCCAGGTCTAGCACCAGTGGTCTGAACTGCTGCTAGAGAGTTCTGAAACACAGGAAAGTCTAAGTCTCTCTATAGCACTGCATCATTTTAACTAATTCTGGTCTACAGCCCTTATTATCCAGGAGGATGTTCTATTTTACTAGGATAAAAGCACTGATATAATGAGCCATTACAGAATCAATGCTGCAAATTTTAGTTGGTTACTGTTTCTGTCTACTGGGAGGTTAGAAATTTCCTTGTAAGAATTAATGCTTTAGGACGCACGCTGAAACAGGTTTCACCTCAGAAGTGCACTCCCTACCCTTTAGCCCAGAGAAGTCCTCACAGTGTGTGGCTCTGCTATTTCACTTGTTGGAGCTGACCACTATTGAGGTATATACATTTATACACCACTCCACTTACATTTTATATGCCAGATATGCATGTTAGTATGCCACTAGTGTAGTAGTGTCTATATGGAAGAAGTAGGTGAAAGAATGATCTCTGAAACAGCTATGGTATTAGTGCTAGAGAAGTCAAACAAAGAAGAAGCAGTGTAGAAAATATTTTGAGATCTATAGGACTGACTTAGATTCACATATCATACACTGGAGTCTGTGAGTTTACTACTTCAGGTAGTCTGTGTCTAAGAAAGGAGGCGCACAAGGATCTTATTTTTCAGCCATTCTGACAAATGGGAGGTGGGGTTACTTCTGATTTACTTTTTTTTTTTCATTTCATATATTTCTACATTTTACTGGAAGCTTTTTTTTTTATAATCTTACAGGAATATCACAAAATAAATTAGAGGTTTTACAGTTTAATTAATCTTATGCTGAAATGATATGGTATTTTAGGAATTTAAATATATAATACATGACACAGGAGATTGGATAAAGACTGCTGAGCTTTTTATTTCTAAAGTGTTAGTTTATAGCCAACTCAAGTCAATATAGATTGAAACTTCTTATCTGTTAACTGTTTGGTGATGGTTTCAGGTGAGAAACAGAGGTATACAGGAAAAGATTACTATTGTTGGTTTTGTCTGTAAGTACCATCCTATCTAACTTTTTTTTTTTTTTTTCCCCATGTAGCCATCATTAAGACAGGAGCTTATCGTTAAGACAGGAGGATAAAATAGAAAGAATACATAAGTCAATTCTTGATGTACTTCTGTACATGGTTACAGGTCTGTGTGAGTACAAACCAAGCCATATTAAATTATCAGCTATTTTAAAGCTATTTTTATAAGAGACCGAGTGCCTCATAAAAAATGCTTTATCACAGGAAAAAAAAAAAAGGAAAAGAAAAAAGAGCTTTGTCAAAATCCTGTGTAACCCCAGTTAAAAATACCAAATACCCTGATAATTCTAGACAATGAACTATGCCCATTAGTACTGTAAGCACACAAAAAAACAAATGCAAAGGTCGTTGACAAGGCACCTGTCTTCTCATCTCTAAACTTGAGTGAATGAGCAAGATGCAAAGGCTAGAAATACACTCTGAAAAAGCAACAAAATATGTTAGAAAAAGTTATTTGACCAAGACCTCAAATGCAGAAAAGTCTTGAGACAAATAAGTCTGACTGTATGGAAGAAAGTGGCAGTGAAGAAGCAATCATACAACCAAAAGTGATTTCTCTGGTAGAAGGTGGTATAAGCAGGGTGACTAGGAAATTAGTTGATTAAATGAATGCCTTTTGTACTTATTGCTGGTAATGATGGTTAGCTATTGCTTCCTGGCAGAAATTAGGATACTAACCCCACTTTTGATTAGACCCTAGGCATGAATACCCTTTTCTTGCAGCTGCTATTCGGGCTGGCAGAAAGTGACAAAGTTTACAGCTCCCTGTGAAAGATTCACTGAATCTGCTCTAAAAGTTGAATGGGTAATGCTGAATGAAACATAGTTTTTATTACCTTTTATGATCACTGATACTATTACGTTAATGACCTCATTAATTCATACAGTTTTAGGTAGCACAATATTTGAATTTCTCTTCAATATTATTTGCAATAGAAATAACCAAAAAAGACAGGGTTAGGAATTTAAAAGATTACCAGGATTTTTTTCTGTAAGATTTAAAGAATGCAACTTTCCCTTCATTTTGAAGATATTTATTTGGAGATAGCAGTCTTTATAACATGTTTGTTTGTGTCAGCTGCATTCATACTTTGGGTTTTTTTGAGGATTTAAATGTATGTGTATATATATTATGTATGCATATGTGTATGTACACTTACACGTATACATACACCTATATTTGTCAGATGTTAACTTTGCTTCATATTTGTTGAATTAAGTTTCCAGATACATGACAGATCCTATTACAAGTCTGTTTGACTGTGTGGAGGTGGAGAAGAAGAGGTACAGGGGTTAATTTTTTCCTCTTGACAGGAAAATTACAGTTCATGTGCTCAGTAAATCGGAAGACTGCACACCATCTAATCCAAAGAAAGAGAAGCTGACTGGTGGGAAAGAGGATTGGCAGTGTAAATAGGAGGGCATCATATGTGGTGTGATGATATTCATCACATCAGCCCCACATCAGCTTCATACCATTCCTATTCTGAACCCATTACTTATAGGAAGGAAAATATCCTTATCTTCGGGGGGAATTGTGAGTGCCTGCGATGTGAATGTGATTCTTTTCCAGTTACAGTACAATATGACTTATATCACAGAGGGAATAATAAAGGCATATTGTTTAATTAATAAGTGGAATCAGTAGACTGAAGGATGTTGAGTACTTTTCAGTTCAACCAAGCTTATATTTATGTCCTGCAAAGAGCCAATGGAGGTCAGAGGACCTTGAAGTGTTCGTGCATCCTGCTTTTCTTTCAGATTGGTGGATGCCTGAAAAGCTGACAGGTTGTAACAATAATCATACACCAACTTTCTTCTAGGGACTAGGGTGCTATACTGATTGAAAAAGTAGCAAAATCTGTCAGCCCCAAATCTCCTTTGCTGTGTCAACTGGCTATAGTACTCCACCTATTTCAAACATTAATGTTATATTTTTAAACAAGTACCAATTTCAAGGCTGAATCACTGATGGGAAATACAATTCTTTACAGTCATTCCAAGCACGTATCCAGATTCTGTAAAATGTGCGTGTAGGTCTCCAAATATTTAAAGGCAAGGATGTTAAGTAGAGGTATGCACAAACTTCATTTTAAGTACATACCTTTGCAAATTTCCAATCTTGTAAAATAGTTTCCTTCTTTCTCACTGAAAGGCAGCCTATAAAATATGCTATTAAGATTTTATCTCAACATAGATATCTAGAAATTAATCAGGAAATAAAGAGTTTGGTTCACAGCATGTCGTACCTTCAGGTGACATCTCTGGAACAGTGGCCACATAAGGTCCACCCAAGAATTGTGGTTCATGGTCATTGATATCTCGAACCTTGATAATAAATTCTGATTCGGGTTCAACAGGAAGCTGAGTGCTCCTGTTAATTGCTTGTGCTCTCAGAGTGTAGAAGGATTTCTTTTCTCGATCCAGCTTTTGTGTCACGTAAATTTTTCCATTATATTCATCAATGATAAAAATGGTTCCAGCTCCCTCGCCAGTCAAAATGTATTGTAGGTTGCCATCCTGCTTGTCTAAATCTGATTTCAGCTGCAAGTACAAAACAGAAAATAAGCCACATTTGGGGAGGAATAAAGCTTTGCAATATTCATTTTAGGCTTTGTTTTCATTCTACAGTGAACCCTGTCACTAGTGAGCCTTCTTGTACACTAATCTTTAAAAGAGGGTATTGTCACATTTTCAGCCAGTCATAGCTCAGTTTTAAAGTATTGATATAACATACATAAATGCATAGCAAACCTGAAAAAAAGATACTTCAGCCACTTTGAAGTAAAGAGAATGAATGTAAGTACCTACTTTAAATCATTGCTTTACCAGCTCCCATAAACTTCTGCTGAAAACAATGCAAAGGTCATGAAACATTATTTAATGTTTTTGTTATTACAAACTAAAAGTGTGCTTTGTAAGTTTTATATAATCTTTTGTACTCAGCAATACTAAATGTAAATATGAGAGACAGTGGTGTTCTATTTCTGTTAAAATATTAAAGAGATGAAAAGCCATTCTGTGGTATAAGCCTGTATTATTTATTCTGAAATAAATTGATAGACATTTTCTATTTCCTTCCATGATGATCTGCATACTCTGTTGCCTGGCTAAGATGAACTTTATGATGATGATTCCTTTGATGAAGCTGAACCCTGGAGACCATTGAGGTCCAGCTGCATTTGTTCATGCCAACAAAATAGTTCTGTTAATGTTAACATTATGTAACAGTACTTTTTTAATAGGAATAACTTAATTACTTAACATGTCAAGCACCCATGGTTGGATTTAATGGGAACAGAAATTTCTATTCTATCATTTAGTCTCTAATTCTTTACCTATTCATTTTGGGTTCAGAACAAAAGATGTCAAAATCTCTAAGAGCCTGCATAATCATTGAAAAATCCAATATAAAAAAAAAACAAACACATAGTTTTATTCAACCTGCTTCTCCCACAAAGCAGCAGGTTTTAAATGCAAATATATCTACCTGTTGACTTCAATGATCTCATTGTTTTGTTTCATGCTTATTGACTCTACAACTCAGTGTAGGATATGAGGCCACAGAGTGCGAAAGAACTAACTATGAGGTGTAACGGGCACTTTTCCTTATTTGAGCTAATCAACAGATTTTGTAAAAACTTCTGAAGTTGCAAAAACATTTTAGCTTTTTTTTGGAACAATGCCCATGCCTTTTGAAGATTTCTGTAATGCATAGTTGTCTGCTTGCATCAAATGGATAGTTTATTCAGAAAGTGACTGGGATGCTGCTCTGAGGTATGAGAAACAGTTTTGTTTTCTTTCTCTGAGTTCTATAAGAGTATTTAATCGTTAAATTACACAGAGTTAGTTCCCCTTGCCAGTAGGGGAGAGAATGTTCAAGGCTAGGAAGTTTAGAGTCATTTACAGTATGAACAACTTCAAGTCAAATGTTTTCAGCATGAATAGCTGTGTGCAAAACATGGGGCAGGTTCAACACTTTATGAGTGGTCTGATCAATCTCATTTTAACACCATCCAAATTTAGTGTCTGGCTAAGGGGCACCACAGATTCTTTTTGATCTTTGTTTTCTTGTCATGAAGCCATGGGAAAGGTGATGAATACCTGGATCTTTAATCTAAGATGAGGTCCTGGAAGCATGCCTTGAACTGGCTATTTAGACATAACCTGTGTCAAACCACTTCACTCAGAATCATTTGTCCCTAAAAGATTTTCGTGAACTTGACCATAAGTGGTCTCTTACTGATGGTATTCGCTGAGAAAGCGTACCAAAGATTCTCAGCTTACCTGTTTTATTAAGTGAGACACAAAAGAATAAATGGTCTTTCTACTGTAAATGAGAACTGGGACCAAGAATTTATGTACTTGCCTTCATATATCTGTCATTGCAGTGCTGATGGACAAATGTCTTTTTCTTAAACATGATAATGGAAAAGGATTCATGAGTCTATGTTGAATAAAATTTGAAGATTGAATTCTGAATCTGACTGAGAGAAGAAGTTGATATGGAATAGTGACTTAAAAACAAAGACTTTCTACCTTTGTATTTTCGTTGATGCAGTTTCCTTCAGGGCCTTATTTACTAAAAACTCCTGTGTTGATCATAGATTGTCACTTCATTTACTGAAAGCAGAGCGCATTCTACTCAATAAAAAGACACAAGTAAATATGTCTGATTGACAATGGTTAGACTGCAATAAATTAACCATAATCTTCAATAAAAAATCCTCATAGTTTACCTGTGAGAAATAGAAAGGCAAGATTATGAAATTTTTCTAAAGCTGTATGAAAATACATGACATTTATGAAGTTTCTCTTACAGGAAACTGTTTTCCAGCTATGGGAAAAGTAATAATAATTAAAAAATGAGTATGTCTACACTTGTTCTTTCAGAAGTGAGACATCACACTTCCATAGTAGTTACTTTGAAGGGGCTGTGAAAAAGTAATTAATGAATTTTGAGCACTTCACCCTTTGGGCCCAATTAAATTTTAGTGCTACTTAATTAGCAGTTAAACTTATTTTGGTTCATTCATCTAGAAAGTGCCTTAAAGAAAAGAAAACTAGATCTCAAGACTACAATTACTCCTAGCATACAAAAATAAATAATAATAATAAATAATAATAATCAAAGAGAGAAGAAAGGGGCAGATAAAGCCTCATTAAGACAATTATCTTAAAGCGCATTTTTAAAGGAGGGTGAAAAATAATTGCTCGTTGTGCTAAACCTACGTTAATCTAATGAACCATGCAGATTCCTGTAGTTTCTCAGTGGTAAAAGGATTTAGTATTAATCTGCTTCATTAAAAATTAATGAGGGGTAAATCAGCTGCTACTTAGTGTAATAGAAAATCATGCTAAATACTGTTTGTAAACTACACTGCACTCAGTATGACTGCTTTGATGCAGCGCCAAAAATAGCACAAGCAAATTGCCAGATGTTGATAAATGAGTCCTTAACTTTCATTCAGAAGACAGGAAGGAACTCTTCAGCTTCATACCTTCGTCTGCTGTGTGTGGGACTAGTTCTAGTAAAAGAGAGAATGTGGAGTTTCCTTGACAGCAGACTTAGGTGAAGGAAGGTCCTTGGTACTGCTGTGACCTCCATCTCTTGGAGTTCTCTGACCCTAAGCCAGGTCACAGGAAAGGAGAGATGTTGTGCTGCCTTATTACAGCTCCCTGAGCTCCTCTTTCTGCCTTTTGTGATATTTCCAGGTCACTGGATATGCTTGGTTTTCCAAGTTAAGGTAATAAGCTGCTAATCAGCGCACTAAATCTAACCTTGTACTGTCCTTGAGTCATTACTTATCATACCTGTCCAACATACACAGGCACCGTTGAAGTCTGTTCCTCAGTTGCAAAAAGTGGCTCCCATACCCAGCCACGTTTCACTCTTCGAACTGCTGTGAGAGACTGATCTGTGTTTCGAGCGCTGTGGTTCTGCATGCCCAGAGAGCAAGGCCAAAGTTGAATCAGCATCAGCACGAGAGGTAGCAATGAAGAGAAATTCATGCTGAACCCTTCTTTCAATCAATTTTCATCTGTGGAAGAGGAGAAAAAAAGGAAGAAAAACTTTGACAAAGCATCACTTTTGTCTTTCCACTTTCAGATATTGACTCTGTGCTAATATAAGAGTTGTTTTGCAGTGTTAAAATCCCCCTCCCCAAACAGAAAGATCTGAAACAAAGTCTGTGTCTGATTAAAATAGAGATTCTCTTAGAGACTCTGGCATGAAAGTCAACTTTCCTTTATGAATATCCTACACAGGGACATTCTATGCAAAAAAAGAAAATCATCCTTCAATTAATTCATCTTCCAAATTAAGCTCGGTAATTGTATTGTGCAGCCTAAGAATAATTTGATTGGAATAATTGTATGTTTCTGCTTAGACAGAGCTCATTTTGAGCTACAGTCACAGAACTGCCTGAAGGGTGAAAATCTAGCCCTAATGCCCCTGATGACTGATAGCTGGAACAGAACAGTGCAGATATTTTTTTTAACCTCTTCTTTCCCTCTTTCCTAACTCAGCAAAATGCCTGCAGAAGTGCCAAAGGTGGTAGGGTACCATGAAAAAGCAGCAAAAATGTGCAACTTCCTGCCTCTTGGTCAATATAAATTGTCTTAACTGATTTTACCGGATATTTGTTTCCTCAATTAAACAGACAAAGGGCAAATGCATCTTGAAAGCTGTAAGTTTCTGCAGCTAGCTTCATTGGCACAAAGTATTCATTCAGAAAATGGCTTTGCACAAACTGTATGCTATTATTGACTCTTCAACCGTTTTTGGTAGAACAAATGAAACTGATTTTAAATGAGGGGAAATGACCATCTTCTACAAGGAAAAAGGAAAATTTTGAAAACCCTTAGCACACATATTTCAAGTTTTAAAACCTTACTTGGTGATGGCATTACCCATTCTTTTCAAGGCTTTAGCCTTGAAGAATAACATTTCTTATGCAGGAGCATCCTGGTTTATGAATTTACCACATGCCAGTCGGTTTGTACAACACACTGCAAAAAATATTTGGCTGCCTTTACTTTAGGCCTGAAAAATACATGAGCCTTATACAAGTCCAAGATAAAATATTATTTTATGTATTTTAATATCATTATTTAAATAATAATGTTATAAATGCCCATCCTTACGCAAAGGGAAATGCCATAGTTGCTTAAAATGACAGACAGGTCATATAGACAACTATTTCTTTCCTTCCAGCAATTTTACATGATGTTGAAGATTATTCTGTTAAAATGCAATCTGCGTATGTATATTTACTGAGAAAAAGATAAAGGACTTCTAATAGCAAGGCATATATAATTGTAGGTGTTAAAGTGTGGGTTCCAATTTCTTAACATTTTCTGGTTTTCAACTGTAAAGCTGTAACAATGCAAGACAAGACTTGAATGGAAGGAGTGTGACTTGGGTGCACTCTTGTTTCAGTTTCCCGTGGAAAACTGCTTATTTTCCTAAAGCAGCAAGAATAATATTTGTGACATGGAAGACAAGGCCAGCAAAGCTCAACTTTGCTCTTAAATAAAGCTTGAGTGAGGTTTCAAAGGCCCAAAGGCCTTGGAGAATCTCTCTGTACAAAGGACGTATTTAATGCTAAGCAGAAATTTGCACAGAAGCTAATCTTGAAAATGAACATTCATTTTATATCAGTACATAGCAAAGAACAGACAACTTAAACAATACAACCTGAATAGTCAGAGACCTTTCTGAGGAATCCTAAAGAAAATTATTTCAATCACCATTTAAATGAGGAGACAGGTGTTCAGTCTGGGCCATAGCAAATGCTTCTGGCTACCCATTAGCTTATGTTTTGGCTGCTTGTTCTGACATTGCCCACCTTGTTCAGCAAAGCGTTTCAGGCTTGTGGGGCAGTATTTCATGTAGAGGGAATGCCAAACAGACACTTGTTATCAGACTCATCTAACAGGCACTGTGTATACACATCAACATAGTGAGGGTACAGAATATGGCTACGCTGGTCTACTGTTGGCCACCTTTTAGCAATGCACTCAGCAGTTAGCCATCAGCAATGGACAGCTTAAAGAGCATAATTAATATATTGGTCTGTTTCAGTGTCTCCTCTTTACTAATTTATGTTAATAGCCTATGAGAGATGGATCCAGGCATCACATCTTGGACCAAATTGGGGGGAATAAACATTTTTAGGTTTTGACATGTTGCTCACTGTTATGTATATAAAAAGACTTTAATTTGAAAACAGTAGACAAATTATTGTAAAAACCCATAAAGCTGTGTAATGGAATTGAGAGTTATATGTATTTCTGGTTTTCTCTTCTCTGTTATATCAGACATATTCAATTCCCCTTTACTTTCAGACCCTTTCAAAGCATATTTGTTTCCAACGTTTTCCTACTCATTTGGCACTGAGACACTGCCTCCAGCCTCTGGCCAGCACATGTTGCCATTCTTTATAAATCCAATAGTTCCCTTGTGAAACAATCTCCTTCTTTCTGTTCCACAGACTGTAACAGTCACAGAAGTAGCTCTTGTAAAACATCCAGAAACTAGTTTCTTATTCCCTCCTCTATATCTAGTTTTTCCTTAAAAAAATTAAACTTCAGTGTTGCCTACTTAAAGGAAGAAAAGTGTTCACAGTGTTTAAGCTGACTCTTTGCTGAGACTGCTGCCTATCATGGTGACTAGTATTGTCTCATTATCAGTTTTCTCTTGTTTTACACTTAATTTGTAAGGTCTTTGTAGATGAAATGACCTTGTAGTCTGTGCTATAATTATAATATGTAGCAGAAGGGAGGATTAGTAAAAGCACAGAGCTTTTAGGTGCTATAATAATATCCACAAATAGACACATTTTTAAAAGAATAATCTCTCATTAAAAAAAAAAAAAGACAAATATATTTTCAGAGATGAACAAATGAGCTATCACTAATAATTTCCCAAGGGGAAGAGAGAAATGGGGACCATTGTTCTGCTCCTGTTCTATTCTTCAGGAAGTACATGTCCACTCTCAATTCCATTGGATTGCAATAATAAAGACTGATACTTAGAACAGAGCAATGAGAATGTCAATTGCAGTTGTGAAAAGCAGGCTACAGCTTTTAAAGCAGTATCTTTCTTTTATACCCAATAAAAATCACAAGTTTCCTGTAGACTAGGAACAGATTTACCTTCTTGGCACAAAGGTGCAGTGTCCTTTGTTGGGTTTGTTCTAGAACCATCACCAAGTGACATCCTGCTACCATTTGAAACTTGATATTAGTTTTAGTCTGGCTTGGCTCTGAATTCCCTTTGTTTTAATACTAGTAATTTATTTTAAATTATGAGCACATCATTACATTATGAAATAATACCTGTTACTGCCTAGCACTGCAAGAATAACAATAGGAAGAATAAGAGGTTTGAAAAGATACAGCCTCTGGGATATAGTGAAGTTATATATTTGTTGGTGGAAAAAATAAAAGACTAATGGCAGACAAAACAACAACCTTCTAAAACATTAAACCCGACTCAAACAATGGATTACAGTGAAGGTGAGGATAAATTCTGTTGCATTTCTGTTAGATGAAGAATAAGGAAAATAAAGCTTGATTTTGTAACAAAATCCTCATAATTTGATATAAGTAAAGCCTTGTAATTAGAAGGTTACAAAGCACTGGAATGCAGTAACAAGGGACATGGCAGATACTCCTTAACCATTAGGAACATCTCATATATGTACTTGATGTTATTTTACAGCAGGATTTTGAAACAGTGACTCCTGAGAAAAACAAATTTCTCTGTCCTTGAAAGTACTGACGACAACCAAAAATGTCAATCTGAAAGATTCTTCTTGTGGAATTTGATGGTGTCTTTGTTTGTTTTAATAACATCAAGCAAAGAACAACAACAAAGTGGAAAAATTCACATAAGCCTATCTAATTCATAAATATGCAGCTTTTGAAACACATTTCTTATCTCAGGCAGAGGCCTAACATGATGTTGTTTCAGTTGCAAGTTCTCTTTTGTGCATTGGTGTTATTATGTTTATAGTGAAATTTGTCTCCCTTGTATGTTACTATCTTTAATTTTCACTTAATAAGATAAAGAAGAAAGGGTATTTGTAACTAACACCTACGGATTACTGTGTTAGAAAAAGCTTGAATGGATAGAAACCTTCATAGTTTCAACTATACACTTGTTCATTTGTACTATGTCTACTGGCTATTTGTCCTAGTTACATTTTATATGGCTGATTACTGATAATGTTCATGTATTATAGTGCAGCTGCTCCATTTTCCTTCCAGAAAAGACTGTGTATGGACTCATTTTCATTGACCAGTTTAGATTCCACACAATATCATAGAGACCTGAGCTATATTACTTCTAGAATTCCCAAAGAATTAATCATATATATCAACTAGTTTAATTAACGCACGTTTTGTGGTCTTTTTTTTTTTTTTTTTATTTGTGTGGAACAATGATAAAATATTCTAGACTGTGCAAAGTAGTGGACTTAATCCTATTCTTAGTGCTAAATTTTACATAGAGGCAGATAATATTTTTTAGAGATTTGGTGTGTTAGAAACTCTTCACTACTATTTTAATCGATTTTTAGCTGTGATTTGATCTTTCACCAATCAGTGCCAATATAATTTTTTTTATGTACGTTTTCCATTCTTCATGTAATTTAAGTATTTTATTTGGAAACACTAGAAAAAGGCATACTAAGTCCCTAAGGAATAAATATGGCATATTTAGCTCCAACTATACTGGATTTGCTCTCTGGTTCCATTGATAACTACCGTTGCAGATTGGCACAGGAGAAGTCACTATTGTGACAGTAATGTTTAACTGAGTTAATAAAAAACAACAGTGGGAAGAAAGGACTAAAATTTGCAAGCATTTATTTTTTTATTTGAACTTCATTTTCTACTGAATATCACAGTTGTCATATGCCACACATACATAATGTGTGATTGATTGGTTCACAGAGAATCACAGAATGGTCACGGTTGGAAGGGACTTCTGGAGATCACCTAGTCCAAACCCCCTGCCTGAGCAGGGTCAGAGATTGCACAAGAGATTGCACAGGACGGTGTCCAAGCGGGGTTTGAATCTCTCCAGAGCGGGAGACTCCACAACCTCTCTGGGCAGCCTGTTCCAGTGCTCCACTACCCTCAAAGTAAAGAAGTTCCTCTTCATGTTAAGATGGAACTTCCTATGTTCAGGCTTGTGCCCATTACCTCTTGTCCTGTCACTGGGCACCACTGAAAAAAGACTGTTCCCATCCAACGGGCACCCTCCCTTTAAGTATTTGTAAGCATTAATAAGATCCCCCCTCAATCTTCTTTTCTCTAGACTACAGAGACCCAAGTCCCTCAGCCTTTCCTCATACGAGAGATGTTCCGATCCCCTAATCATCTTTGTAGCCCTTTGCTGGACCCTCTCCAGCAGATCCCTGTCTTTCTTGAACCAGGGAGCCCAAAACTGGACACAGTACTCCAGATGCGGCCTCACCAGGGCAGAGTAGAGGGGGAGGATGACCTCCTTCGACCTGCTGATCATGCTCTTCTTCATGCATCCCAGGATGCCATTCACCTTCATGGCCAGCAGGGCACATTGCTGGCTCATGGTCATCCTGTTGTCCACCAGAATTCACAGGAGCCTTTCCACAGAGCCTCTAATCTGTACTGATGCATGGGGTTATTCCTCCCCAGATTCAGTACCCTACACTTGCCCTTGTTGAATTTCATTAGGATCCTCTCTGCCCAACTCTCAAGCCTGCCCAGTTCACGCTGTATGATGACACGGCCTTCCAGCATGTCAGCCACTCCTCCCAGTTTTGTGTCATCAGCAAACTTGCTGATGGTACATTCTATCCCTTCATCCAGGTCATTGATGAATATATTGAACAGATTGATTGATTGATTGGTTGGTTGATTGATTTTTTTGAATGGGTAAATTTGATAACAGTTCTGCTGTAGATTAGGTCACCTTTTCTATGATGCCTCTCAGCTTATGCTTATCTGCCTGCTTTTTTTTCTTTATGATTAGTTTAACATTTAATATTTTTTTAGTTTTAGTTATTAGTTGTTTTGATTCTAAATATTTAAATTAGTCTTTTTTGACTTTCTGCTCTTTCACAGTCTTTTTTTTTGTAATAAATTTGGACTGCTGCATCTAACAAGTATATTGAACTTAATTATACTGTGGCTATCAGAACTAACATCTAAAATGTAATAATATCTGCAGACTATTAATTAGACCTATATCAACAATAGCCTTGCTAGTCTGTTGTATGACTAGGTATTTTAAAAGCTACTATTCAACCTTGAAAAGTGTCCTCTTTAACACACGTCTTGATGCAACCTTTGACAAGATTATATTGACTGGTAGTGCATATTAACACAGTACGGCTGCATGTGTCTCCACTAGTCACCCAGCACTTCACTTATATGGAGAGCAATTACTAAAATATTAGGAATATGGTATAAATTTCACTTGATTCTAATTGGTACATTATTTTCTTCATTTTGTAAATATGCTATTGTACCATTAGGGAAGGCCTTCAAACTATTATATAGAACTGCCAGAGTAATTATCTGTCAGTTATACATGGACAGAATAGCTTTAGAGAAATGAATTTGTTAGCTCATTAGTGCTTTTAAGTCTTGTGGATTTTAATCAGTGTGGAGCTGTCAGACTAGAAACCTTGTCATTCCTGTTGTTTTATAATGGTTTACTGATTATCCTTCCAGGTAGTGTATTAAAACATATTATCCGACCCCAGTATTTTACTAGAATACCTGTGACACTGTAGAAATAGCCCAGATGCCATTTCAGATAACAAAACCCTGAGTCTTCAAAGTATGAAAAGCAGTAGCCAGAATTCTGTAGGAAGTTTGTTCTAAATGAGAGGAAAGAGGTCAAACGTAAAGCATGAAATTTCCTGCAGTGATTGAAGAAAACAAGTGGTGGAGCTGTTCCCTGTTCAGCCCACAAGCCAAAGGAGATAGTATAGAGGATAGGCTGATATAGTCTATGGTTTACAATCTCACACCACAGTATCTTTGGTCATTCCCATTCCCTTAATGGAGTTATATTAGCACCAAAAGACGTGAGTAAACCAGTACGATTTTTCTGAATTAAACCCAGTGACTACTGGTTCTATTCTATCCCATTTGAACTTTGTGATATAAAACTGGCTGCACAATACTTATTTCCTAGTGGATGGGAGCATACAAGATGAGATAGCCAGTATCTTGCCTTTTTCAACCTTATTCCAACAGTAGTTTTAGAACTGAGCAATTGGTTGCTGATCTGCAGTTTGCTGGAGATATATGTAGCTGGGATCAGCTTAATATTTCTGGGTCTGATTCAGCATTCCTATGTCTGCTTAGGTGACTTAGCTGCCTTAGGTGACTGACGCCATTGATGTGACTCTGTGGACAAAGATTTTCATGATTTTTGGTAACTTGAAATCATTATTTCACTCACTGTTATCAACCATATTATACAGAGATGGAAGTGCAGCCTCAAACATTTCAGTCATGCCCAAGACAGAAAGAGACCCAGGTCTTCTCCTTGGAATTCCTTGGAGCTCCTTTAGAAACTGTCTGGTAAAGATGACCCAACAATCAAAGAAAGAGACACCCACATCATTCCCATAGACAGAATAGAGTGTGTAGGG